TAGTGTGGAGAGAAGGAGGCTGAGGGGCATCCTCATCACTCTCTACAGCTTCCTGAGGAAGGGAAGTAGAGAGGGAGGTGCTGATCTCTTCTCCCTGGGATCCAGGGACAGAACCCACAGGAATGGTTCAGAGCTGCACCAGGGGAGGTTTAGACCAGACATTAAGAAGCGATTCTCTACCAAGAGGGTGACCAAACACTGGAACAGGTTTTCTGGAGACGTGGTCGAGGCCCCATGCCTGTCAGTCTTTAAGAGACATTTGGACAACGCCCTTAATAACATGCTTTATCTTTTGGTCAGCCCTGAATTGTTCAGGCACTTGAACTAGATGATCATTGTAGGTCCCTTCCAACTGAAATATAATACTCTATTCTATTCTATTCTGCTTCTTTCTCATACAGCCAGACAGCTGCTGGGACTGCAGTTAGTTGCAGTAATTTCTCCTTCCTTCTTTCAGATGCCAAGAAGTTCTTTGGATTGAGAGGAAGGTGGAGATTTTTGGGAAAGGGCATTTTCCTTCCTGGTCTGGGAGATCAGCTGTGGACTGTGTGTCTCCAAGGAGGGACTGGGATGAGATGGGGATTTCATAATACTTATCAGCTTTGCGTGGATTTAATGTGTGATCAGAAGTGATGCATTCACTCTGCAGAAGAGACGGGTTCCAGAGAAGCATTTGCCTCAGAAGGAATTTCTAGTATTTGTGAGGGACAGCTCATAGTGTTCTGCACAATTCCTACAGCATCTATGTTCCCCTAAGAGGTCACTATTTGGACAAGGCCCACTCAGAATGGGGAGAGAAATCACACAGCAGCAAGACAGCTGAAAGGTGAGCACGGCACTTCCTAAAGGAATCCACAAGTCAAGGAAGCAGAGATTTGTGGGACAGCTATGTTCAGATGGCTTTGAAGTGAGCTACGGGACATTCAGTTCAAAGGATGGAACTAAACCTAATCCAAAATAAAACTCACAAACCACGTACAGTAGAAATGTCAGGAGCCTGAGCAGTTAATTCAGCATGGCTTTGCTTCACTCATCTGCCCAAGCTGCACCAAATTATACATTACTGTAGGCATCGCTGATGTTGAAATTCTGCAGTATAAGTATCTTCAGTCAGGGGAGATCAAGTTCCAGCTGCTTCTTCAGACTTTTACAGTGTCATCTGGAAGTCTGTGTGGAATGTGAAAAACCCGAGACACCACTCTTTGTAAATTCCTGATTAGTTGCATCCTGTAAAGAATACTAATATTGGTATTTTCAAAAAGCTACTCCAGTGACATCGCAGTTAAATCTTTCTAGGACATGTACTGAAGAATGCCATTTGAGACTTAAATAAGATAAGGAAAAGCAGCATTAAAAAAGAAGCCTAATACATAGTTTTATCAAGACAATGTTGCTTCACCAGACAAACAGGACAAAAAGATGGATTATCAAATTCAGTAGGATTTTTATGTCTGTACTCTAATTTTGATTCTAAAACAATTGTGAGAAAAAAGATCTTGAAATGAAAGTCACTATTTCTAGCTAAGAAGGAATTGGTCATTTTTCAAGGAAGACGACAAAGAAGGAAGATGGAGTAAAGCATGAAAATGAGAAAAACTACTAGAAACAGAACAATCTGGGGGATTTCTCAGTCATATACAGGAGATATGAGCAGAGCAAGACAGATATGTACATAAATCTAAACTGACAATGGCTAATGTAGCTGTTTCAGAAGAAGATGCTTTTAGGGTGGGTAATTATGGAAAAAAACCTTCCTACAGAAGAAATGACATCCTAGCCAATTGTTGATAACCTGAAGCCCTTCTTTCTCATCCATATTTTTGTAACATTCAATGCTGTCAGAGGCTTGGAGGTGTGTTGGTTTTTACTAATCCTGTCACATTACTGCACTCAAGTTATTTATTATGGCACTGAATTCAACATGTTAACTGTGCACTGTTACTGAAAAGAATCATACTGCTTTTGTGTACACAATCTATCAAGCGTCAACAACTGCAAATAATATGACTCAAATTCTTGATACTTCATTTTAGCAAGTGAGGTATTCTAGAGAAAACACTCAGTGATGTAAACAGAAGGGCTTTTACACCCACCTAACAACCTTTGCCTTAACCTGAAAATGGAATTATGTTCCAACACAATCAGAAAATTTGTTTTTAAATGAACGGAAGCCATTGCTCCTTATTCCTTCTGGGTATCTTTATACTTCCCTAATACTACATAGATTCAGTAGTATTTCTAAAAGAATTTGTGTCTCCCTTATCTTTTCCTGCCATCTCACTACTGGAATTAGAGAATCTCTCAAGGCATACTCAAACTTTCATCTACATTCCTATTTCACTGGCTTCAGTCCAACATTGTAATCCTCATTTGAAGGCCTACAACAGGCATCAGTAAAGAAAAAAAGTCCAATCAGTACATTCTGGAAGAATATTGTGTCTTAAATTTGCCATATTCCTCCTCTCTGCATTTGGAAGATTTAATCTGTAACAACATTTAATAAAATGCCACTGTATGCACTATGTACAACTTCACTTTAACTGCAATTCTCAAGACTTTACAAGTGTGTAGTTGTACAGAATATCAATACAAACTAAACTTGACATTATTTACATTAATAAAGAATTGCTTAAATGATACTGCAATCTCTCTATTCCGGTTTTGCCAAAAAAAAAAAAAAAAGTTTCTCACAGGTTGGGCACTAAACATCCACAAGCTTCCAACATTTCTCTCAATTACTTATAGTTCATTGTGCTTAACTTAAAAATTTCAGTGTCACTGTAGCTCTTATATCTGAACAGCAGTGCAACAAGTAAGAAGGATAGGGATAATTTGAAAACAACGGGCTTCCCATGTACATAGCTCAAGCTATCCCACCCTCCCTACGGAGCTATATCATCTCCAACCAGGCACCTATGTAATTTTTTTCATCCCCACCACCAACATTTGGAACAAATGATCCAACCAGCCACAAAACTCTGCATCTTCCCAGTCTGTGACCCACAATTATCCTACATAACTTCAGATTAATCCATTTACACACCCCTCTTTTATTACCAAAAGCCAGAAGGAATTCCACCACTTAAAGTGCTGATCTCTTGTACAGACATTTTGAACAGGCAGCCTCTCTGAGAAGACGCCCACATTACACTCTCAGCTTATTGGCCAGACAGACTCCTAAACACTTTTTGAATGTGGACAGTCCAAACAGTCTGAAAACAGATACACACTGTTAGGCTCTTTTAAATTGGGAAAGGAACTCAGGAAAGAAGGCAAAAGGATTCTTTCCCCACCAGGAGGTTCATCAACTTTGGTCATACGTCTGATCTGCACTCATACTGACCTATCATGAAACACACAGAGCACTGAAAGTCTATTTCAAAACAACAGGATAGTACTTTTAGCTTACACTGAGCAGGCTGAGAACACAGTGACAAGCAGTGACTGAGGACTGTGAGCTAAACGTCATCACCCACGCTCCACAGTGGTTTGGTAAACCTTTTCTCAAAGTCTCTCCTAGCCCCTCCAAGATCTATGATACAAAATACACCAGCCCATGACTTTCCCATCTTCAGCAAATCTCTTTGTGAATACCTTTGTTATCGGGTATCCAACAGTTACCAGGTAAACCAAGTTAAATTTATTCCACAAGAGTGGACTAGAAAGCTTCAACAAACAAGATATTAACCTCAAATCTCGTCTTTTACTTTTACTTCTCCTTTTGATGAAGGAGAAGAGGAAACTTCAGAGAACTGAAAAACCGTATATAACATATATTCAGATAGGGCTCAGCTACCAGCAAGATTATCGTGAACTTCTGAATGAGTTCTGCTACATACCCCCAATGAACTTAAACCAGTCCTTCCATTTGGTTTGGTAATGCTGGTGATAAGAGGAAATGTGGAGGAAAGGATGTGTATGTATGCCAACTAGCAAAACCTTCTAATTCTGCACAAATCTGCCATATCCTAAGACACTTAATACACTTAAGAGAATATAGAGACATAAGCTTAGGAGACTTAATACCAACACCAAGCTTAAAAAGCAAAACTAGGGCTACTTTTCAAGTGTTTTTCAGAGGAAATTTCTACAGAGAGAGTCCACTTAAGATAATTTACATTAAAATGTTGTATTACTTCATTAAAATAAGCACGTATTTTTATATGTACATGTAAATATCTTGTGCATGGAAATACATTAAGGAAGACTATGACTCTGACTCCAACATTTCTTTGTCCTCTGTGTTAGGTGCGACCGCTACATATAAGTGGAAGAAAAAAAAGCCAGCTAAACAGAGGGGCAGTGTGAGGGCAAACCACCAGCTGATGGCTGTGAGAGCAGAGAACCTTGAATGGGGCAGGCTGCAAACACCCACGGTGGCAACAACCCGTGGGCAGGCACTGAGTAAATCTGAATGGGTATTCACAACCCAGTTGGGGTAAGCTTACCTCAGCTGACAGGGAAGTCAAAATCCACAGACTTTCCAGACAGAAAACTAGTGGAAAGCCACCAGCACCCCCACTAAAGCCTGCAACGGGGCAGGTGATAACAGCTCTTTTCAGACCTTCTCCCTGTTAAATTTAATTAGTTTCTACACTCAATTATGTGCGGAATAGCCAAAGTACACATCTTCATTTCTACTGGAACAGTATTTTTGTTCATCGTAGCAACCGTCAAGTGACTTGACTAATACTTTGCTTTATTTTTTAAATATGAAATAAGAACTGTTAGGAGAAAAAAAAAAAAAAAGAACAGAGAAAAGTTTAAAATTTAACCACCTAGGAAAGAAATTATTAAAATCCAGAAGAAAAAGAAGAACTAGAGGAAGATCAAAACCTCTTAGACAGTATAATTGGGTATAGGTAGTGAAGCTCATAAATCAATACTGAGTACAGCAAAAGGAATAAACTAGCAAGGCAGATCATTTCTGACTCTCTAGTATCTACCTGATGTGCAATATTTACTGCCATTTTCAGTAACAAGGTTATCCTCAAACATACCTGTTCAAGAAGTTCCTTGTATGTTATTTTCTCTTTGGTATTTGTTACAGGACTGTCATAAACAATGGCGATTTGGTCTCCTCGTCCATTCTCAACATGACGATCTACAGCATTGTAACAGATATTCAGCTCTCCACCTACAAACCTAAAAAAGAAGTTGGAAGTACATAACAGCCAGCCTTCCACACTAATAAGACCATTTTTTTCCTTTTTTTTTTTTTTTAAGGAATGAGAGCATTCAATTAAAATGTAGCTCATAAAACATACTGAGTTCAATAAGTCATTTTTTATTCTATGAACTTACAATTTACTCAAAAAAGCTAAATAAGCCTATTAGTGAAAAAAAAAGTGAAAGTACTGTACCTTAACTAGGAATCTGCTGAACTTGGTCTTGATTTAACTTACATCAATCATTCTGATTTTTATAGCTAAGGTTTCACAGAAAAAAGCATAAATTCACATAAAATAATCTGACATTATGAAAATATGTTATTACACTACTTTGTATTGGCATGCACACATATCTTTTTTTAAAGAAGAACAGGTTCAGGACTCAAATATTATTATTCATCTCTTGGCAGTAACAGCTAACCATACAAGCATCTGTATCTAAATGAAACTGACCCCAACAATTATAAAATAACTTTCACAATACATTTGACATTACCATGTTTTACATCAGTGACTCAAAATCCCCTGTAAAGTGACGTGAGTCATAGCCTCTTCAACAGCCAGACATTTACAGAAAATTCTCATCTTCTAATTAAAGAAAAACACTTCACAAACTCAGGTTTCATTTTTATTGTTAGTTTACACAGAAGAAGAAAATTCAAGTCCAGCATAATCCTAAAGTACGAAAATACAGAAGGCAGCAGATACAAAGATGACTCTAACTGAAAGATGACACAGACTCTAAAAATTGAAATTCACTCTAAATAATGCTTTTTGTGTTTGTTTTTGGTGGGTTTTTTTGTTTGTTTGTTTGGTTTTTTTTTTTATCTGCATGTACTGCTCTACAGGGAAAAAAAAGAGCAACACACAGAAAAAACAGTTGAGAGTTTCCAAAAAGTTCTACAGGGACGTTCTGCTGTGATAACATACTACTATAATGTGACTAGAAATAAAAGCAGACAGCCTAAAGTAATGCACTACTAGTCAGAAAGTATCTCCTTCTTCACCTTTCCTGTCTAGCAAAGGACTGCTCTAAATTTGGATATTTTATATATTATTCATATATCCACAGGCACAGATACGGTAAGATAGTCTTTATTGTCAATGAATAGCAATTGTTAAACCAAAATCAGCTAGGATGTTTAGGATGCAGCAATCTTTTATTGTGACTCCTTTACAATGCCATTAATAAGGAGAAGGTGGGGAGCCACAAAAGTAAAAAAAAAAAAAAAAAAAAAATTCTGTACCATAAACCCATTTGCATAAATGAAGAACTGTATGAACAATAAAGGTTTGGGAGTTGTTTCACGCAATACAGAGAAACTGTCAAATTACTGTCATAAAAGTTGTGTAGGACTGAGGTCATACATTGATTTTTATATCAAATCACTGTAGGATGATGTGAACAAGGGAACAAGGGACCGCAGTACCTGAGACACTATGCATAACCACTTAAGAACAGTCAAAACACAAGCAAGTACTGGAGCTTGGATTCTTCTAAAGATATATGGCAACATATATATGCCACATATTTTTTTAACAATTGCTTGCAAACAAGTATATGAAAAAGATGTACCTGCAGGCTGAAACAAAAAAGACTACGCGGATAGTGTGATGAGAGCTTTGCTACCCTGTTCAGAAGGAGAGAGGCTCTTACAGGATCAGAGAAGCAGAGATGCAGCTACTATGACCACAATTGCTTCTGCTGACAAATAAAAGCTGCCTGGCTTTGACAAGCTGCCCTGTGCTGCTGCAAACTTCTGTTGATCCAGTGATTCCCAAGGAGACGAATACCCATGAGGAACTTTGATGTGCTTAAATAAACTTTAGTTGGAAAGAAACAGTGGCATGAAAGCAGGACCCAGTCGTGGAATAAGAACATCAATGTGATGCTCCTATTTAGGGCAGAGGTCTAGAATCAAAAAGAAAATATTCCAATAGACTGCAGAAAGACCGTAAGTGGATCTGCAGGATGTTTGTAAGAGCTGCCAGTAAATCCTGCCATAATAAGCAGGACCGTAAAATGCTAATCTGTTGCTAACCAGACAATTATCTCAATGCATCTTAACAACTAAATCCAAGTCTGAACAACCTTATTTTATGTTCCTAATGCTGAGAAATTAATAATGTTCAACAAATTAGTCAAACAAGTAAAAACAGTAAACAGTAACAACTCTAATACATATAAGAAATTGCATTAAGTTCACTAACAGTCTCTTTCAAGAGCTCATCTGCTGTCTGCTAGTGCTATGGTGAAAAAAACCAACAGGGTTCTTCCTGTCAAAAATCACAGCAGAATTTTAAACTGGTTATAATATCAAAACAGCTTGTTTCACAGCAACAATTTAAATCAATATTCTGACAATATTTACCTATCCTTTTGATAAGTTTCTTTTCCCACGAAAGTGGCAGCCTGGGATAATCCATATTATGCATAACTTAGATCTAATAAGGCATCTTTTAATAATTTGAGTGTTGTTATGCACATTAGGACGCCCTAGAGCCTCTTTAAAGCTGCCTACAGCAGTCACCTAGGAATTACTGCCTCTTTGTAAGTGAGGCTCAGCACCTCCCATCTCACCCTGGCCTTGAAGTCTCACAGAGTTTCTGTTGTTTCACAAACAGGAATCTCAAGTACATTCACTTACCTCTTTAATCAGACTTTAAAATTACAACGCAATTAACCTTTTAGAGGTAGGAGTAGAAGAGGGCACAAAAGCGCTCATCTTCTGTTCATGTTTTACTCTTGGCAAGTCAGTTAGTTAGGTCTTCCACAGCGGAACTCCAGCTATATACAGCTTCATGTCCACCACCTATGGCCTGGAAATTTTTTTTACTGCATTCGGCATTTTTTTGGATGTGACAACAGCCTACTTGCCAGTAATTAAATAAGTATAGTAGTGAAGCAGGCAACAAAAAATTATGTCTTAATTCACTTCACTCAAATATTCAAAAGTTATGCTTTAATTTTACAACACTCTCAGCTATCTTAAGAAGCAAAGTAGCTGTATTCAGAGACAATTTTTAGTCTTCATTCAATGGCTCAGAAGCAAAGATAATTAAGAATAAAAAGAGAAAGAAAGTAAAGGCTATGAATAAAGCTGGCATATATGCAAAAGAAAAAACTACATTAAAATTATTTTGCACCATAATGGTAAAAATGGCATATTGCTAAAATCCTTTTATGCCATGCAGGGCACATATACTTCTTCAAGCCTGGTTCCCAGGAACCAATTGATTTTTTTTTTTTTTAATTTCTAGATGAACTGAGAACAAAAGCTGAATAAATTGTTAGACAAAACCACGACAATATTTTTATCCAGTCACATTTTTTAAAAGTGTAAGCAAAACTTGAATAGCAATCTGTGCAACATTCCTCAAGTTCAAAGGGGATTTTATACTGCACTTATGTCTTAGAATCAGAGAAAAAACATAACTTGTAAAATTGCCCTCTGCCTGCACACGTTAGGAAAAACTGTTTCCGCAAAGAAACACTTGCTTTAACCTTGCTAAAGAAATACTTGCTTTAACCTTTCTAACTGGGATTCCACAAGATCCCAAAACAATCTGTTCACGTGTTTCACTACTATCTTTAGCACTAAAAAGATTTTTCTTTCTAACATCTAAAATTTATATCTCCCTTGCTGCAATTTTAGACTTGAGTTTTGACTTCAAAGTCAACTTGGAGAACAGTTCTTTCTTCAACTTTGTAGACAAATTCTACATTTTAAAACTTAGGTCTCCTTTTTGGCCTCTACACGAAAGAATTTCAATTCCTTCATCCTTTTCTTGACCAATCATGCATTTTGCTCTTCTCATTATTTTTTATGTGGGCAAAAAGAGATGACGTTTTGCGCTGTACCACTACTGACGCAGGTGAGAACAGTCAATGGTACTGGGGATTACTGCTTCAACAAAAGAGTCAGGGTATGGTGGCTCTGACCCCATACCTTTTGGAAATCATTTTGCATCCCACTGACATAATACCAGTATTTCCAGTGGCACAGACTAAACAAAATGCACAACGGCATGCTGCACGTTTCTTTCATTCTCTTATAGTATTTAGAAAGGATGAAAGGCATTTGCCTCATAACTACATTTTAAATAGTTAACCGCCTCCTTCAACTTCTTCAACTGAAGTAAACGAGACTGGAAAATATATTAAAAGTATCTGTTTCTGTAACTCACAGGTTTGGCACCAAAAACAAAGATACTGAAAAAAATGGATATTTATTAATTGATGTAATAATATGTCTCCGAAAGAGGAGATAAATTCTAGCTCAAGAAGCACATCCATGAACTTCTTAAAACTATTTTTAAGGTCTCCATAAACTGCTTCCTAGGTAAACCTCAGAACCAGAACTACATCTTTACCCTGTTAGACCAGTAAACTATGTTTTTCTTGGAAGCCTGGCCTTTTCCTCAGTACTGTTCTGTCTTCTTTGTTCTCTCTTCAGCATGTCCCCTGAAAGAGCCTCTTGTATTCTCTCTCTCTCTCTCTCTCATACTCAATCTTTTCCTCAAAGAACTTACCTGTCATCCTGCTGAGCACACTGAATGCTGGTAACCACCCGGGACTTCAGAGGCATTTACAGTACTACACTAGTATCACATAGAGCCTGTTATCACTTAGGGTTAATTTAAATTTAAAAAAAGAAATAAAATTGCATGTTGCATATTAAGATGTTAAAGAGGATTACACAAATCTGAATTGCTTAATGTTTTATTATCTACAACAGACCAACAGATACCTGACATTGAAATAATAATTAGGGTCTGATGTTAAGTCTTCAGAGACTTGCATCTTTGTATAATCCCACAGAACCACAGACTGGTTGAGGTTGTAAGGGACCTCTGAAGGGAAACTGGTCCAACCCCCCTGCTCAAGCAGGGCCACCTAGAGCCAGTAGACCAGGGCCATATCCAGATGGCTTCTGAACATCTGCAAGGATGGAGACCCCACAACCAACTCTGTGCCACTTCTCAGTCACCTTCCATTAAAAAAGTGTTTCCTGATGTGTGGAGGGAACCTCCTGTGTTTCAGTTTGCAGCCATTGCCTATGGTCCCATCACTGGGCACCACTGAAAAGAGTCTGGCTCCATCTTCTGTACACTCTTTTTTCATTAATTAATGAATTACCTCATTAATGAGGTAATTTCAGTCTGTGGCAACCTGCAACCACAGGGAGAAAGCTGCAGACACCAGAAAAGACCCTTGGAGGATAAGTCTGACTTCAGCCCATGGAACTTTATCCAGTCATCCTTGCTGTAAATGGAGAAGTCATAACACTTTACAGAGACCTACCCATGTTACTTTCAGCAAGCAAGCTTATCACACTCAGCAAATCAAACCACGTTTGTTTAACAGAATCTGATAGCAAAACCATGTATTATATTTTCATTGCTTAGTTCTTAAAAAGTAACCATTGTACTGACTTCTTCATTATTATGTTCCAGAATGCCAGAGCCAGTGAGCTTCAGCGGTCTTTAATTATGCATTCAACCCACCTGCCCTTTTTGAATAGTGACATGACGTAGAAATGAAGGTCAGTGGACCACAGGTTTCCCTATCCATCCATTTTAGGACTCCTGATTGTTATTCAGCCCTGCTGACTCAAAGAGATTTACCCTGTCTGGGTGCTGTTTAACATTCAGCTTAAGACATATAAACAATTTTCACTACTGGAAGTACCAAGCAATAACATCAGACACCAGTAAGAAAGCAAGCTCCACTCTACGGGTGGTTTGACAGGCAGATTTGAGAGTGATTAATATTTTTAATAATATTTTGAGAAATATTAGTATTTTTAAATTAAAACCAAGCCAGAAAAATATAAAAATGGCAAAGAAGTGTATCAAAGATGACACTCATCCTGTGTTGCCTTTTTTATCCTACATGAGCTTCTCCTTGAGAAAAGATCAAAGAGCATGACCTAAATTTGCTGAAAAAGAGGGGATCCAGTGGTCAACAGAAAAAATTAACAGGTAAATTGCCTTTGTGAAAGTACTGAAAATCGTACCCAGTGATTTATAGGAAGGATACCACCTTCTGTAGTAGGGCAGTTTGCCATTCCCCACCTGGGGAGAGTACAATGCCAGTGCTTTTTGCCAAACATTACCTTAACCACATCCTCTAAATTACGACCTACTTAGAGAGTTTCTAAGACTAAACAACTCCGAAAGCCGCCATTTCTGTGTCTCCATACACCTACCTGGCACCTGGCAGCCGCTTTCCCGTGCTCACAGCTGCCTGCTCCCACGCCAGGCCCGGGAGGGGTCGGATGGGGCAGCACCAGGTGTGCACACACCCAGGTCACCCAGCCACGCAGCGACATCACACCCACACAGGTGTATGTCACACCTGGCACAGCATGCGATAACTCACTCCAACACACACATCTGTGCTGGTTTTAATCATTAAGCTTAAACAAGCGTAATCATTAAACTCCTCCATGC